CACTTAGGTTGTTTCCAAATCTTGGCTATCACAAATAATACCTATGGAGTTTAGGTATATTAGCCTTCTTGGTCACTAGGGTCAGGTTATCAAGTGGTGTCCCTTGTGTGGATTGCACGTGCCTGTTAGTTTTAGCAAGGTGGCTGGAATGTGGGGGACACACTCCCTGGCTTCAAGAAGGCAACATAAAAATATCTTGACTGCATGCACCCTTAGGCTTCAGCAATGTAGCGTGAGAGTGCCGTGTCTGTGCACACACTCCAGGCTTTAGGCTGTTAGTGGGAGAACGCCTTGACCACTAGTGCTTGCCAGCCCCAGCCAGAGGCCTGGGAAGTGTTGCAACTGCTTAAGCTTGCAGACTTTAATTAGGGAGCAGGAGAATGCTGCCACCATTTCCACTCACCTGCCCCAGCCAAGGAATAGGGAAGTGCTGCAACCACCTGTGCTCTTTGGTTTCAGCCAGGTGGTGGGATAGTGCCCTGACTGTTTGCCCCTGCCTGTCTTAGCAAGGCAGGTGCCACATCTGAGCTTGTAACTTGTGCTAGCAGGTTAGGTAGAGAGTGCAATAATGACATCCAATAGCTCCTCCTCTCTGGGGAGCATTTCAACTATCCCCTACCCCTCCAGCTGACACTTATAGATTAGTAAATGAGTCTCCTTCACATATAGTCCAGGCACTTTTCCAACTGCTGTTTTTTGCCCAGTCTTAGGGTGAGTGAGACTGCATGTGAACCGTTTAAAAGGGGAATCTAAGTTTCCTATAGCACTTTGGGTCCCTTGGAGGTCAGCCCTTTTGGTTTTCTAAGCCAAACATTTTGGAGTCTTGTCTCTGGTGCAGATCCCAGAGGTTGGGGGGTGCCTGATGTAGGGCACCAACCCCTTGCTCCAATAGGAAAAACGCTTGTCCAGTAGGATCCCTCCTTACCATGTGTCACTGCACCAAGGGTGAGAATTTTCTCCAGACCATGTCTCCGCCTCTCCTACCCATCTCCATGTGCTCCTTTTATCCTTTGTTCTGGAGAGCACCTCATCTAGTTTTCAGATCTTTTTCAAAGGGAAACGACTCATATGTAGCTGTAGATTTGAGGTATTGATGGGACGAGGTGAGTTCAGGATCTTCTTACACTGCCATCTTGGACCAACACCCTGATGCTTTTTTTATTAATAAGAGAACCTTCTCTTATTATAGAATGATGATCTTCTCCCCCTCCATATAAGTAGTGTGTATGTAAATATATAGTTATGTATGTTTATTTTTCACCCTCAAATAGGTGTGTATATATATTTATGAAATGATTTGAATATCCCAAGGCAACCAAGTTGATTTAAAGTGTAAAAGAGTAAAATCACTTAAAAAAAAACCAAGTATCTTCTATATTTAAATTGAAAAACACAATTTCTTATTACAAATATCTTTCACAAGCTTTTTCTTTGTGGCAGATTCCTCCTTCCAGGCTCCCTAATGCCAGAAACTTCTTTCTTGATAGAGGCTGAAAATGGGAGATTCTCACTTAGTCAGTACTCCTTGCAGCTGGGTTGGCCATGTGGCATAGCCACACGACTGAAGAAAAATGGAAGGAAGTCATCCATTGGCTTCTGGAGATGTTTCATTTCATGATATAAAGACATATATCAAGAGAGTTCTTTTACCTCTTTGTTTGCTTTCTCCTTTGGATATATTTGTGTTTAGATGTGACTTATGGAACTTAGAAAGCCTCTTTTATGGCCATGAGGTAACAAGCCTGAGGATTAAGGCCAGCAAACTGAGGACAGTGGAATGGAAGAGACTAAGTCATTGATGAGAGTATTTTGTTGCTGAACCAAACCTTGGATACTATATCTCTAAATTTATTGATAGATGAGAAAAATAAGCTCCTATTTTAAGTTGGTTTTTAATTGAGCATTCTGTAACTTGAAGCTAGAAAATTTCTAATTGATAACACAGGTTGATGTTTACACTCCCGAGATATCAAATAAAAAAAATATTATAACAAATTAACACCTTAGTAAGACTCTTGCTCCTTTTCAGTAAACATTGAAGAGAGAAGATGTAACTTATTATGATGAGAAGGTGAGTTTGTGCAGATTTAAACTTAAATTTTAAATCTTATCTTTTGTTCATCCGGTCTGTGATTTTTGCTCATTATACTTTGTGGTCTCTGAAATGTAAAAATTTTCCAACAGTCTTTCTTACCTTTGTGAGAAAACAAAAAGTTTGTATAACACTTAATGTATGCAAAATACTTAAATCCATCAAAATACTTCTTTCCAGGTTTCTCATCAAATAAAACTCTGACTCAATTTCTTCTTTAATTTTAACCAAGACTAAATCATAGTTTTGAGACTTATGCTTTTTATTACACAGCTTTAATTGTCAAGTGGGTAATGGAAAACCATCTAAATTTCTTGAACTAGAGAAGGGCAGAGCTGTCCTTTTGGAGCTTATTCCAGCAGCAGTGTACATGGCTAAAAAAGAGGGAGTATGTGGAAAAATGCTAGAATAATGTTTAGGAGCCACTACAGCTCAGCACCACAGTTCAGTTAAAACCTAAAAAGCCAGAACTTTTGTGGTGGCTGAAGGACATGGATGGAGGTCATTGTGGTTGTAGACACTATTGCTTAGCATGTGAGAAATGTGGAATATATTGTGAAAGTTCTCAACCAAAGAACAACATGATTTTCAGAAATATTTATTGAGTTCCTTCTATGTACTCGGCATTGTTCTTAGATCCAAGTGCAAAATAGTGAACAAGACAGAAAAGATGTTTGTTCTCACAGAACTTATAGTTTATAGGGGAACGTAGGAATTAAGAAAAAATTGTATGATGATTGTTATGATGGAGGGTCTACTGGAATTTATGAGAATATAAAAAAATTACAACTGACTTTTATTGATTATTTGATATATGCCAGGCATGGATTTAACCATTTTACTTACATTTTTCTTTGTTTAATTATCAAAATAACCTAATGAAAGAGATGCTATTTTTACCATCCTTTTTTTTTTTATATAATTTTATTTATTTATTTTTCCCCCAAAGCCCCAGTAGATAGTTGTATGTCATAGTTGCACATCCTTCTAGTTGCTGTATGTGGACGCGGCTTCAGCATGGCTGGAGAAGCGGTGCGTCGGTGCACGCCCAGGATCCAAACCCAGGCCGCCAGCATCGGAGCGCGAGCACTCAATCGCTAAGCCACGAGGCTGGCCCTACCATCCTTATTTAACAAAGATGAACCAGAGGAACAGAGAGATTAAGTAACTTGTTCAAAATACTACAGTTAGTAAGAGTGGAAGTAGGGAGGTAAGATTCATACACACTTCCTCTAACTCCACAGCCCCTACTCTCTTCTATGACGAGAACAAATGGACAATCTCAGTGACTGAAATGTTACATATAACAACCCAGCAAGATAGTCAGGAAGAATTTTCAGTAAGTGTTTAAAAGTTAAAAGTCTAGGAGGGATATGTAACATTGTAAACTATTTGGGAGATATCTCAGGAAAGACGACAACTGAAGTGAGTTACTACAATATTTGAAAAATTTCAGATGAAGAATTAAGGAGGACGAGACAGAACACTTGCAGAAAAAAATTTCCATTTAGGGTATGGGAATCAATGGGGAATAAAACAGTTCAGTGGAATTCCCTTCAGAATTAAAGAGAATAGGGAGCTGGGAGTTTACTTGAGATCTGCAGTGAGGGATGTACTGCAGTCCCTGGAGTGAAGTGAAAATGAGTAAAGTCTTGAATCCCTAAGGAGCTAAAGACACATCATGGTCCAGGGTTTATAATATCCTTCTTCCCTTTTTACACATAGAATCTATTTCCCAGGGAAGAGATTGAGTGAGCTTCTACTCTGTTTATAACCAAGTGCATTATATCATTAAACTCACATTAATCCATCTGTGTCTAATCAAGTAGCAAATGTGATAATAATAGACTTCATTTTTCTCTGCTACTTGAGAGCACTTGAAGTCATAATCACAAAATATCATCTGCAGTTCAGAAAGATCTAGAATATAGCTGAATTTAAGTATGAGATGCATCCTCTTAGTATCAAAGGAAACAAAGCCTCAGAACCTGAAATTGCCTTTCCAGTACTACGAGGGTAAATACCAAGGATAATAGAGGACTGAGGCATTCTGACCTAAGGAGGGTGAGTTTCTGAATTCCATTTATAATAATATATTCTTTGTTTTGTGATGGTAGTCCCGGGACTTACTATCCCTTTCCCATTTTGTGCGGTTCTGAGATTCAAGAATTCCATTTATAATAATATATTCTTTGTTTTGTGATAGAAGTCCAGGGACTTAACACTATTCCTTTCCCATTTTGTGCAGTTCTGAGATTCAAGTTAAACTGGTAGAAGAATTTGTTTCAGGACAGATCAGAGTATATCCAGAGACATTAGGGGGCTCAGAGGGTGCGGTATCTCAGTAAGTTCCCTCTCTATGGGTGAAACTCTCTCTCTTCCGCATTTATGTGGCTTGAGGAAGTAAATTAACCTCTCCTGGGCTCTAGTTCCTTAGTTTTGGATTAGCAATAGTATGTGTGGTTCCCACCTCAACAAGTCTAATCTGCTTTAGGGGCCAGCACTAGGTTGCAAGAGTTGCTGTCTCCAATTTTACTGGTAAGGGGAGGGTTCACATGAATGAAGACAACATGAGATGAGAGAAAGAAAATTCTGTCCTGGTCCCTACCTTTCCCTTCTTCTTTAGTTTTTCCAGTAGTCATGTTTGCATATGGAAGCACTGGCCTTCCCCCTGTAGACTAAGTTTGTAATACTCTTGGTTATATTTAGCTTATTTAGACTCCATTAATGGATATCAGTGTCACTTAGTATCATGGTAGTGGTAAGGCAGATTCTACTGGTCCAGGTGGGCATGTCTCAGACATTTCCAGTGTATACACTCTCTTGTAAGATGAAATATTGCAGGCAGAGCTGAGTTGTTCTCTAATGTAACCTTTCCTCCTGTGTCCACAGATTTCCTTAGAGAAGAATGGCTACTGGAAATGGCTCCTTCGTGACAGAATTCATTCTGGTGGGGTTAACAGATCAGCCAGATCTCCAACTCCCCTTGTTCTTCCTGTTTCTAGTAATGTATATGGTCACTGTGTTGGGAAATTTTGGCATGATGACTCTGATTGGACTGAATTCACACCTTCACACCCCCATGTACTTTTTCCTCTTTAACTTGTCCTTCATAGACCTCTGCTATTCTTCTGTGTTTACACCCAAAATGCTGACTAATTTTATGTCAAAAAATATTATCTCCTATATGGGGTGCATGACTCAGCTCTACTTTTTCTGTTTTTTTGCTATTTCTGAATGCTATGTGCTGTCATCAATGGCCTATGATCGCTATGTGGCCATCTGTAAACCACTTTTGTATAGTGTTACCATGTCCCCTAAAGTGTATTCCAGCCTTATGCTTGGTTCATACTTGATGGCATTTTCTGGTGCCATGGCCCACACTGGATGCATGCTGAGACTGACCTTCTGTGATGCAAACACCATCAACCATTACTTGTGTGACATCCTCCCTGTGCTCCAGCTCTCCTGCACGAGCACCTACATCAACGAGCTGGTAATATTCATTGCGGGGAGCATCAACATCAGTGTGCCCAGTCTCACCATCTTTGTTTCTTATGGTTTCATCCTCTCCAGCATCCTCCACATCAGCTCCACGGGGGGCAGGTCCAAAGCCTTCAGCACCTGCAGTTCCCACATAATTGCTGTTGCTCTCTTCTTTGGATCAAGTGCATTTATGTATCTCAAACCATCTTCTGCTACATCTGTGGATGAGGGGAAAATCTCTTCTGTCTTTTACACCAATACAGTTCCCATGATGAACCCCTTAATTTATAGCTTGAGGAACAAAGATGTTAAACTTGCTATGAGAAAAATTCTAAATAGGAGAAAGTTTTGATCAGAAACAACATCTCTCTGTAGTTAGTCACAGGACAAAGGGATTCTGTGTGTTTAATTAAAATAATTTTATTTGTAGTTTTCTTATTCTGTTTCTATCTTACCTGCTTGAAAGAAATGTGTGTTCTCTTAATAATTTATTTTCACTTTTTCAGTGTAGGTCTTCTCTCATTCTCCCCATTTGCACAATTTATTTCATCATCTTTTTTCACATTTAATAATAATATTTTTTAAAAAGGAACTTATTATCTCTGTTTTTTTCCTTTATCATTTTGTACTTGTATTTTTCTCTCTGAAAATAGAAGATTAATCTTCAAATGATCAAATCAAGGAACACTGGGAGACATAATGTCGTTGGGGATGTCTTATTTGTCACTTGGCATTGGAAGCATGAATCAGAAAATGTGTTCCTACACCCATGTTCACAGCCTTCAGTAAGCAAAAAGAAAACATCTCCCTTAATGCCAAAGATGGAAAGTTCCATAAATACTGTCAAGTATAACCCAATTTGCATGTGTAAATACTATTCATTTTGTTTCCTTTGGCAAAGGGTTTTCTTACCTTTGGACACTCAACTCTGCACATAACAGATTGTCAAAATATATTTATTACGTGTTTAGGAAGATAAGTTCAGAGTGGTTAATGATTTACTTATAGTTACATATCTTCTTAATGAAGAAGTCTAGAGTAAACTTTCAATCTTCTGATTTAAGTCTACTACTCTTCCTAGTATACTTTGCTTCTACTTTATTGTATTATTTTTGTTTCAGTAAGCATGGAATATGAGAAAATATTTCTAATTTGAAAGTCGACTGTGCTTTGTTCCAGGATGATATATGAATTTTTCCCAGGGTGGATATTACTTTTTTTGTTTTTTATTAGAAAAGTGGCTTGATGGTTCTTTTTGTTGAGAAAGAGGAGACCTTTGGGGCTAGTATAGTTGGGAAATGATTGGCTCAAATAGGAAAAGTATCTCTTTGGCAAAATTAAACAAAAAAAATGAGTTTGGAATGTTTACAAGTGTTTATAATTCAGAGAAGAGGGTATGGGAATGAAAGGAGCCCAGAAGGTGTAATTAGGCCAGGACTCAACCAGACACATGGCCAATAAATAAGAAGTCCCTATCCAGGAGTGGTCATGATGATTTAGAAGCCACATTTCAATCTGAATTTTTATCCTGTTCTATATAGTATTATAAATATACAGTACAAAACTTCCACAAAATTATAATTCGCAATGACTATACATTAGTATTGTTTTGAGGAATGAAGGTGTAAAAGCTATGGCCAAATTTGGGGAACCAGGTAGAGAGAGGACACTTTTTGGGAGATAAAATAGAGAATAGTAATTAAAACTCAAATTAGGAAGAAGGAATCTAGAAAGTAAAATGACGGATTATAAAAGCCCATTTTTATGACTCTCCTCCCCTTTCTGGAATGTCTTAGAAATATTACAGAGATCACAGGATTTCTCTGGATAGGATAAAAGCCCAAGTCATTTGACATTAAGAAAGTTAAAGCCACAGGGCTGGAGGATCTGGGAACAACTAAATCACTCATGTTTTTATTCACTTCTTTATGTTACTTCTTTGTGGATTCTAAGGTATAAAAACCTTAATTGCAGTTGGGAGAGCAATGATAATTTGAAACAGACATTGGGTGAATAAATCAAATTGTAATAAGTTCTTTTTTGAAATAGTATGTTGGATTATTTTTCTTTTGAGAAAACAGGCAAAAATGATTATTCAAAAAACACTTAATCCTTAATCAAGTAGCAATTTCAACATTTTGTGAGATAATTTAATAATATTTTCAATTTTATTTGTTTTCTCCTATCCACTCAAGACTTAGATACTGTGAAATCTAGCAACACTGGTATGTTGGCGTGCTTGTGTGTTTTTTAGATGTTCGGCATTGCTAAATGCTTGATTTACGGTTTTAAATGACCACTCATATGGCATCCCCTAGCCTCAAAATCAGCATGCTTGATTCTCACTTAACAAGTTCTATTTATATAAAATAGTCAATCTTGGTTGGTGTTTTCTTTTTGCTTTTTTTCATTTACTTACTGTCCCTTTTGATAAAATTGTTTTTCTTATCGAGAGAGAAGTATATCTAAATAAGTAAATAATATCTATGCTACTTGGGAACCTTTGTAAACATTCCAAAGGTGAGTCCAATGTTACATATTTTATCACTATTTGAAGTGACTGAAAGTGTGTGTTAAACCTGGTCACTAATCTTTCACTCAAGAAGCCTCAAATACAAATTAAATGTTTCATTTTTAGAAAAGATATTCTTTCAAATTAAGTTTTATTCTTTCAGATTATTTTGTATAAAAAATAATAGCAAAGTGTAAACACAGCTTGTAAAAGCTTAGTGTGGCAAAGTTTTTAAAAAGTAAACTTAGCTATAGCTTTTAGTTAGCAACTGAAGCTCTATGTGTCTATTTGGACTTCTCTCAAAGGAGAGGAATCAAGTTAGGGTGTTTTCACATGTGTAACATAGAGTTATCCTTTATAATGTGTGCTTCCTTGTGTTATGGGACTGGCACTAAAGAAGTTATGAGAGAAACTATAATTCTATAAGTTGTCACAGCTGAGAGCTAAACAGGCAAGCCATGGGATTCGCCTATGTCTGTGTACTAGGAAAGGGATGTTTCTAAGTCACTGCAGAAGCTTGGACTCTGAGCTATAACAGAAAATGGTCCTCCTAGTTAAAGACCAGAAAGAAAGTTCCCTAATTACATCCTGAATTTGTTTAATGTAAACTTTCTCTGGGAAAACTGCTATTGTTGCTCAGGATCAGGTTCATAATAGGCACTATCAGGGTGCACTGTGGTTAACAGTTGAGGAAAATCAAAAGTAACAGGGGTTCTGTTCTATATCCCTTTAATTTCTAACTCCCCAACTTGTTGAACCCCATCCTCCACTCTTCTTTGCATGACCTCCCTACACACACACACACACACACACACACACTGTCTTCAAGTCTTCTATTTTATGAGATCACTGCTTAACATCAATTTCATTGCATGCAACACACTTTTAATCTTTGTAAGCACCTACAGTAGATGGTTCCTGGTTCCAGCTCCCAAGAGGAATGGCTGAGGGTGAATGATTTGATGAATCTAGCAAGATGAGATGATTATTGCTTCAATGATTTATTTGTTTACATAGAAACAAAACAAAACAAAACACATTTTGTAGCTGCTAAGCACCTAGCATTGTGTGGGACTGTGCTATATGTCAGTCATAAACAAGGCAATGTAAGAGAAAGATATAAAGTTAGATTTTCATAACGTAACACAATAGAGTTACATCCTACCTGTGGATAGATTCTGAAATTACAATTTGTCCTGAACATTGATTATGTCAGCAAATGTTCGTGTTGGGGACAGACATGGTATTTTTCCCTAAGTCTGGCACAATATAAACTGTATATTCAGTTTAGCATCAAATGAAGTAGTTGGTTCATATGGAGGACTTTGCTGTACAAAATATGTACCTGTGAACACTAAAATCACTCTCAGAGTGAGGAAGTTTTACACTCTGAGACAGAGATTTCTTCCTTCCTCAGTGAGTGGAAGGGGTGATGGAATCACTGAGGCTGTTCAAAGTCTCTCTGATATGAATTTGAATTAACCCACTTCGAATGCTAATATATGTGCGGGGTGTTACAGTTGCTGTTAGGAGGACTGTTGTGCTGCAGTTTTCTCTGCACTGTCACATCTGTCCCTCAGGATGTTTTCAGGGAAGAACTGTGAGGTACGTGAGGAAGGAGGTCCTAGTTCCCATGTCACAGATGATGAAACTAATGCTCAGAGATGTTCATGGCTTTTTCCAGATCACAATTTATAAATTGCAGAGCTGAGACTTGAACTTGGGTGGTTTGATTCTAAATCTATCAGGGCTTTTATTATTATTATTATTATTACTCAAAATTTACCATACTTTTAAAGATCAGTGATATTTGAACAATGGTTTTTAGTAAATAAAAGCATTTCAGAACACGAATAAGAGTAAAATATTCAAAAAATAAATTTTACAGCAAGTATCACATTTCGTATTTAATATCTCTAATGCCTAGTTTAGAATATGTGAATATATTCTTATTTTATACTGGCCTATACAGTAAAAGGAAACCCATAGAGGTAGCTTATAGTAATCATTATAGTTAGTAGTGCTTACTAAGTCCCAGGGTCAGCAGTAAGTTCTTACATACCACATCTTATTTAATCTTCACATCAGTGATATTTGATAGACACCAATATAGTTAGCCCAGTGTGGCAGAGATTGCTACTGCCCACATCTTCTTCCAGAATGTCCATTTTCCAGTCTTTCTTGCGGTGAAATGTGGCATGTGACTGAGTTTTAAACATGATGGAAACCATTTCAGGGCCAAGATGGGTCCTGTCCACATTCTCTTCAACCCTCTGTGGGCTAGGTGCTGATGACAATGAGGCCCCACGTAGGTGATGAAGCTATAAAGAAAGCCAGGAAAGGATTCCAATAGAGTCAGCGGGGAGAATGGAAGAATGGGACGCATAGAATGTCTGCGGTGCTCTCAGTACTCTATTTATAGATCTGCATGCTGCTTATATGGTGTTCATTTTATTTTAATTACCTAAAGTGTTTATTTTATAGACTTTTATCTATGTGTTTATGCTAAATTTCACAAGAAATTAAAGTTAGAAAAGTTCGACTTGAGCTCTACTTAAAGTGAACATTAAACTATTCCATCGGCAAAAACTGAGAATAAAGGCCCAAGTATGAGGAACAGCCTTCCTAGTACAGAAAGCCTCCCACAGAAGAAACCACTGGAGGTAGAGTAACATGTACAAAGTAATCTAGATCAGTCCAGGGAAGAGAGAAATGTCTTTCCCAACCTGATTAAGAATTTCCACCATTCCATGGGAGTAGGAAAGTCAAGGTACAATCCTAGTGAATAGATTTGGAGTATGTTATATATCACCGTGCTTAGGTTAATGGTACTGTAAAGA